ATACCAAATTCGTAATGCATTATCTAAATATTAAATTTACATTATGCAAAGATTTCTCTTTTTTCATCTTTTTTCATGTTGTTTTGTTATAATTATATTTTTTTTTAATGATACATTGCGAAAGTTTGATTTATTAAACCATAAACTTTAAAGTCACATGACATATTAGATGCTGCGGATGAAAAATTATGTCATGTGACCAGGCACTTAAAAATCATTTTAACCAATTAAAATGAAGTTTTTAATAAAAAAAAATTCTGTTCTAAGCCTGATTTACTTTTAATTATTTTAGCATACAAATTTATCTGCCAAAATGGACAGTTTAAGAGATAATTATTTGATAGATTTTTTAGTGTGAAGATTTTGTAAATATAAGTATTCTGATATAAAAGTATTATTTTATTCTATAAATTAAAAATATTTTGATTATAAGTATATTTTTTTTTATATTAGAAGCAAAAAAATCTTGAAGATAAAAGCTATATAAAAAAAAACTTAGCAATCTTAGAAAGAAATACATAATAGAAATATGGATAGAGGATTTAGATTGTTTTATTGAATCTTGAGATATAAGCTGTAAATTTATATATATATACTTATTAATTTACTTACATAAAATAGTAAATAATCATAATAATAATACAGTTAAAGCTAGTTATAATGAACCTCTTTATAATAAACGCTGGATATAATGAACTCACAATTTTTAAATTTTAATAATAGTTTGTTATAAAAAGTGTAATGGTTCATATAAAAAGCATAATAATTTATATAATAAACTTTTTTTTTAACGGAACTGTTAGTTCATTATAAAGAGCATTGACTATAATTAAATATATTATAGGTCATAAACAATATATGACAAGAAAAGTCTAAATGAAACCTGCTGAATTTACTAGAATTATGCTAAAATCATTATTCAAACACAAAAAATTGATGAATCAGTTGACAAAATGATGAGAAAGAAATGACCATTACCTATTATATTAGTTGATAACATGAGAAAAAAGAAAAAATTAATATCTATCATTTTTATTATTTCATATAAAATATTACAGTCAACCCTTTCTAAAATGCATCTTCTTGAGATCATAGTGAAAATGTGTATTTAAAGAGGATATGCATTTAAAGAGAAAATTTCTATATGAATTTTATATGCTTAAGACTGAATGAGAACATGCATTTAAAAAGAAAATATATAGTATATGCAATTAGAGAGGATGTATTTAGAGAGGTTGATTATATATGTAAATATTGTGAAATTAAAGAAGTGTAAGATTGGTCTTCTTTTATGCAATAAAAATTATTGCTTAAAGAATATAAGTAAGTGGGTAGTTCATTTCATCGTTGCTTATTTGATTGAAACACATTTTGTGATTTTTCGTTAATTAATTAATTTATTTATTTATTTTTAGATTCGTTAACATTCTAAAATTTAAATAATGAATCGTTAAATAATAAAGATCATCATGATTTTTACGAAGATATTAAAGAAGTAAGTAAAGGTTTTTTATTAATTTGAGAATTTTAATAAAAGGAAGAAATAAGGTGAAAAAATAGTAAAGTGAAAAAAAGAAAGATATCTGATTATTTCACCTGTTATTGTTAACATTCTATCTTAAACAAACTAAAAGCTACAAAAGCTACAAAAGGTAAATTTTTTTATTGATTAATTAATAATTTTTTTTTTTTAAAAAAAATATTAATATTTTCTCTCTCTATAGAAGTTTATCTTCTTAGCATGATAGCCGCATTGACTGGTTATTGACATGAAAAATTTATGGTAGAAGTAACCTGAATACATATATAGAAATTTCAAAGGAAATATTAGATTTGATTTTGAAGAATAATCATAAAAGATCTAATTTAGATTATACTAATAATACATGTATAATTTCTTTTTTTATATTTAATATTAACAGCTTATGTTATAACACTGCAAAAAAATTAAACTTTATTCAATAAAAAAAGATACAATATGAAGGCTTCATGGTCATTAAAAAATAATCACATTGCTTTAGATTTATTTAGATTTAATAAAACATTATTGCAAAAAAAAAAATCTGTTTTAAAATAAATAAATTTAATAAATTTAATCAAAATTTTTATTGCTTTTGAGTCTAAATCTGAATCCAGTCAGACCTAAGTTCTTAGACCAAGTCCAAGATCAGACTCAATCAGACCTAAATCTTTGGATCAAGTTCAAGTCTGAATCCAGTCAGACCTAAATCCTTGAAACAAGTTTAAAACTGAATCCAGTCAGATCTAAGTCCAAGACTGACCTAAATCCTAAACTTATTATATATAGACTTAGTCTATAAGTTCATTTAATAGGACTTATAGATTCTAGGACTAAGCCCAGATCAGAACAGATTTAATAACTAGCATGATAAAAAAGAAGGATTTTTTTTTGAACTTCAACTGAAATTGTCTTTTCTTCAGACATAAATTGATGATACTTTCTGAAACTATGGAGTGGTTGTATTCTAAGTTTGCAGAAATTAAGTACCAAAACCCATTATTAATGTTAAGTGAAGCACGAACTTTAAATTGGCAATTATAATGCAGTAAGATTCAGTTTCTTTTATTTAAGCTTTTGTTAGGAAAACCTTCTTTACTGCAAACTATTGTTCTTTTATGTATTTGGCCTATTGCATTTTTCTCAATTTTTCCTAAACGGACCTGAAAACCATTTCGTTTTGCATATGCTTTAACTATCAAAACAAAATTTTTTTCTGAAGAATAGGTATCATTTTCATTGAGTTCAACACTGGGATTTTCACTGTTAAAAGTATTTTCAGAAAATTCAGATAGTACCGAATCACATTCATAAGTTCCTTTATTACTTTCTTCCATTTTAAAGTAACGAAATTGCAATAAAAAAGTGAGCGAAAAATATAGAAAATAGAACTGCGGATTAAACAGATAACGTCGTGACGCGTTGTATATGATAAATATAAATCACGTGAAATTTTGAGGGGTTTAGGATAAGATGCGTAGACCCCCTGATTCCCATAATAAAATTGCCTTAAAAGTGCGATGCATGTGATGCGAAATCATATGTGCATAAATGCGAAATTATGCAAATGCACGAATCCGTAGTGGGCACTAAAACCTAATAATGCTAAGTAAATAAAATAGAAATAAAAATACACCAATGAAAAAAGATGAAAAAAGAGAAATCTTTGCATAATGTAAATTTAATATTTAGATAATGCATTACGAATTTGGTAT